GCGACTCTGCGAGGTGAGTCTCTGCGGGCATTTTCCTCCCTTGAAAGTGAGCATTTCTGCGGATAATCTTGTCCACCTCTCTTCTCTTTCTTTTCTTCAAGTTTTCCATTGAAATTTTCCGATTTATTTTCCTCATATTTTTCTTTGGCATTTTCCGATTTCAATTCTTCACATTTTGAAATATTTCCGATTTCTTCATCCTTCCTCCCTTCCAGAGGTCCCTCTTTGGTTATCTCCAATTCTTTAGCCTCAATATTTTCCTCCATGGATATTTCATCAAATTTTTTCACCTCATATGCCCTGACTTTCATAGTTTTCATTATCTTCAATGTATCCAGAGAATATTCCTGAGGCTGAGTATCAACTTCGGTGGCGGTGGATTTATTACAACCACTTCTACTCCTACTCCTCCTCCTTGCAGCAAATTGACGATCGAGATAATTTCCAGCACTAATTTTACTTTCTTTCAAATGATATTTTCTTTCCTTTGGATTTGGATCCAGCTCTTCGCTTTTAATTTTCCGATTTGTATATCTATCCATTAGGCGGATTAACTTCGTGGCCTTTTTATTATCCAATGGGTAGATGAATTCTTGAATTTTATTTGTTTCGAATTTCTTGGAATTTGCTTCCTTAGAATGCCTCTTATTTGATCTTCCACATTGCTGAGAGCCATGAACATGACTCTCCTCAGGGCTTTTCTCTCGATACGACATCGTCACTCTCGTTACATTTTCATTGGTGTCAATTTGTGGATCGCAGCTTCCTCTCACAGGTTCGTCATCTTTATTGTGGGGTATTAATCTCCCAGGGCTTTTCCTTCGATAAGACGAAGTTTCTCTCTTCAAGTCTCCCTTATCATTTAAAGTCGATTTCATTTGATGTCTCTCAGTTGATCTTCCACACAGCTGAGAGCCCTGGAAATTTCTCTCCTCGGGGCTTTTCTCTCGAGCCATCGTCACTCTCTTTACACTTTCATTGTTGGCAATTCGTGGATCGCAGGTTCTTCTCACGGGTTCATCATCAGCTTCATTTTGGGTTCCTGCTCTTTTAGAATTTTTTATATTCTCTTTATTATTTTCCGAACAACATGAGGCTCTTCTCTCCTGATGATGACTCTCATTTGTATTGAAATGAGTGGAATTCCTTTGATTTTTTCCTGACTTAACTTTCGAATACTTCGCTCTCACAGAGGCATCGTTATCATCATAATGGGGATTATTTTTTCCGACAGCTTTGCATGTACTGCGGAATTTTTCAGAATTTTTTTCGGAATATAATTGATTAAAATTCTTACCATCATTGTTGTGATATCCTTCGATAGCCTCCTTCGGGGTATTTTGCTCCTTGGTATCTGCCTGAATTTCCATTCGATTTTCTTTTAAATTTCCACACCTCTCAAGATCCTTTTCCTCGATTTTGGCATCATTAAGAGGTTCTGACTTTTTTGACGCAGATATGAGTCCATTCGAATTAGTTCCATCTTTGCCGTTATGGGTCGAGCTCGAAAGCTCGCCCTCCTTCATAAATTGCTTGGATTTTTTGCCATAATTTGTTCTCCCCGGGGAATTTTCTCTCATGACAATTTCATCATTCGAAATTCTCTCGTTACGTGGTGAGAGAGTATGGGTCGAAGTGTTCTTCCTCTCACTTCTATGTTCTGCTTTGGAATGGATTCTCTCGTTGCAAGGTCGGAGAGTATGAGGCGAAAAATTTTTCTCACTTCCATGACCTCCTCCTCTGGAACAAAAATTATCCGTATTCAGGTCCGAATTTTGGCGATCAGTAAATCTCTCCCTTTTATTCTCTTTGACACATTTTCTCTTCAAACTTTCATTGTTCTCTTTACATGGTGAGAGAGTATGAGGTGAGGAATTCCTATCACTTCCATGCCCGGCTTTCGTATAGAAATAATCCGTATTCAGATCAGTATTTTGACGACCAAAAAATCGCCCCGCATTTTTGTTCAGAGCCCTACATAAATTTTGATGGGCTACATTTTCCCTAGGCGAAAGAGACCCGCTCATTTGTTCAAAATCTCTCTCATTGTTGTCTCTTAATCTCCTGCAACAATTTTGCCGATCTTGATTTTCTCTTGGCGTTAGAAAATCTCCACAGCAGATCCTAATTGGTAAACCATGATCACACGATGTCGTCCTCCAACAGCTGGGGAGATTCGTAAATCCACCACAACATATTGGATATTTCGGAAGGGAATTTAAACACCTCACACACCTAAAACAATGGCAATAATTCACAATCACTTCGTTCGAAGCGGAATAGAAATGATTTTCCAACAGGGTCGGATTTAATTGAGGTTTATTGTGCTCTTCTTTTCGGGGGTTCTCTTCTTCGATTTCTTTCATCACATTAGAGTTATGATCACCAATTGCCCCCAGATCCCTATTGGAGGCACACTGTAAAGCCAGTGTACGTGATTTGGGTCTCATCGACATATCCGAAACGCAGGCATAACGTGGCGGAACGCAGACACATTGAAATTCCGTGGAATATTTTAAGGCATCATCACCAACCTGGCGGGGGGATGGGATGGCTTTTTGAGGGTTTTGAGAATTTTTCGGAATTTTTGGATAATTTTGTGGGGTGTCATGATCGTCTGGACTATGAGTCGCTTTAATTTTGAGGGTTTTGGATTCCGTTATTAATTTTTTAGACCCTAAATAGGTGTCGGGATCATCTTGTCTATGAGTCGTTACATTTTTGAGGGTTCTAGAATCCGTTATTAATTTTTTGGACCTCAAAGGAGAATCGACTCTCTCTTTCCGTGGTGTCCATAAATTCTTTTGGAATTTTTCGGAACCTATTTCCGTATATTTTTCTTCCACAGGGTCATGATGGAATGTAGCAAGGTTTTTGGGAGTTTGAAAATTTTCTGAATTTTTGCGAACATATTTTTGAGGGTTTTGAGAATTTTTCGGAATTTTTGGAAAATTTTGTGGGGTGTCAGGATCATCAGCCTTTTCTTTTTCGAAGGTTCTGGAATACGCTCGGAATTTTTTAGAGCCTAAAGGAGAATGTTCTCTCTCTTTTCGTGATGTCCACGAATTCTTTTGAAAATTTTCGGAACCCATTTCCGAATATTTTGCTTCCACAGGGTCATGATGGAATGTAGCGATGTTTTGGAGAGTTTGGAAATGTTCAGAAGTTTTGCGAACATATTTTGAGGTCTCAGAGGGATCATTACTATCGGCCTTTTCATTTTCTAGGGTTCTAGAATCCGCTATTAGTTTTTGGGGAGTTCGAAAATTTTCTGAATTTCTGTGAAAACGTTTTGTGGTGTCAGAGGGATCATTGCTATCAGTCCATTCATTTTTGAGGGTTCTGGAATTCGCTTTTAATTTTTTAGAGCCTAAAGGAGATTCGACTCTCTCTTTCCGTGGTGTCCATGAATTCTTTTGGAATTTTCCGGACCAAGTTTCGGAGTTTTTTGCTTCCACAGGGTCGTGATGGTATGTGGCGACTTTTTTTGGAGTTTGAGAATTTTCTGAATTTTTGAGAATTCTTAAATTCTCTCTCATTTTTTCCGACCATAACGGAGAACTCTTCCTCTGCTTACTTTGTATCCCAGGATTCTTTTGCAAATTTTCCGACCATGTTTCCGAATATTTAGCCTCCATAGGATCATCAAGGTGTTGGTAGTAGTTCTCTCCCGGAGATTTTTTTCGATTCTCTTTAATTTTGTCGCTCTCTTTTAATCGTCTATTTGTATTCTCTTTGATTTTTTCCGACCATTCATGGCAATATTTTTCCCTCACGGAATCCTTGCCATCGTCTTCTTCTTCGTCTTTTTCAATTTCCTTTAATAAAATATTTCGTTGGTGTTTTAATTTTCGTATTTCCCGATTAAATGCATTTTCCAAATTCCATAAATAATTGGATTCCAATTGCAATTGGGTTTTCATAGACAAACTATTGCCCGGCATTTTTGAGTTTCTCTCATTAAAATCTCTCTTGCTCTCCCGGGGTGTAAACACCACATGGCAGCTGGCAATGGTTTTGACTTTTGGCAAATAACGATATTTCTTCTTCTTCTTAATATTGGAGGCTTTTCTTAAGAGTCTCTGGGTGCCGAATTTTCGATCTGTAAAAATATGAAAGGATGTTATTTAAAAAATTCCGAAAAAAATATTAATTTGAGGATTACCCTTTTTAGTCGTCGTTTGTTTGCAGATTTGAAATTTGTTGCTTCAAAAAAAAATTATGTTTTTTATTTAAAACCTTGCTATTTTTTTTTTTTTTTTTTTTATTTATTATTTTGGTTGGCCCACTTTCTATAGGGATAGCAGGTTTAGTGCCATGTATCCGTATGTAGCTTTGCTACGAATTTGACTTTATCCATAGATGGTGGTTTGTGTTTTGCAGGTTGACTTCGATCTTCTTTAAGAATTTGACCACAATGTTCAGACTTTCTAAGCCTTGTGTATCAGTGAACTCTTCTACTGTGAAGGAGTCACATAGTAGCGAAAAGCATCTTCTTTTGCTATTAAATTTACGAAAATTAAAAATTTCATGCGCAGCTGTTTGGATTTTGTTGAACGACTCGTAATTTATAGGTTATCCGTATTTAAAAACACACGTGTTAGTTAAGCGAACGCTTAACAACCGCCATTTTGTAAAAATCTATTTTTAAGCCCGTGGGCGTGTAGTACTCATTTAAAATTTTTTTTACGTCTTTCTTGTGAGCCGTCCGAGGACGAACTGCTTGCTATTTTTTCCAAAATTGTCAATTTTGATTATTTTCAAAATGTTGATGTTGACAAAAAAAAAACTCAATTCCAAATCGTTCCTCTAAATGACAAATAACCCCAAAAATGGCACTGCTAGAATAAACCATGGATTTTTGTCAGAAGACTTGATTTTTGAGGGATGATGATAAAGAAATAAATATTCTACACTAAATTCCACTATGGGTCACCGACCAAACGAAATCGGTATCGGTGAGAGGTGTCAAGATATCTGCATTAACAAATTTGAATAATATGAAAATTTAAAATTTTTAGGTTATATTTTTCGATTATGCCGATTTGGGTCATTGTTCTTCACTTTAGGAAGTTGGACTCAATGGAAAAAATATTCTACACTTAATTTCACTATGGGTCAACGACCAGAAAAAATCGTTAGATGCAATAGGTGTCAAGAGAATATCGCAAACAGATTAGGATAATATGAACATCAAATTTTTTTATGTTATTTTGGTATATTTTCCGATTATGCCGATTTCGACCATTAAGCTCAATTTTAGATGGATGATGTTAATGGAAAAAATATTCTACACTAAATTTCAGTATGGGTCACCGAACACAAGAAATCGGTAGATGCAATAGGTGTCAAGAAAATTTACATTAACAAATTAGTCTAATAGAACAATTAAAAATGTCAAGGTTACTTTCATATATTTTCCGATTAAGGCAATTTGGGCCATTGTTCCTCACTTTAGAAATTTGGCTTCAACGAAAAAAATATTTTACACTTAATTTCACTATGGGTCACCGAACACAAGAAATCGATATATATGATAGGTGTCAAGAAAATATGCACTAACAAATTAGTTTAGTAGGATAATTAAAAATGTTACGGTTATTTCCATATATTTTCCGATTATGACAATTTGGGTCATTGTTCTTTATTTTAGAGAGTGGGCTTCAATGGAAAAAATATTCTACACTAAATTCCACTATGAGTCAACGACCAAAAGATATCGGTATCGGTGAGAGGTCTCAAGAAAATGTGCACTAACAAATTAGTTTAGTACTACAATTAAAAGTGTCAATGTTATTTTCATATTATTTTCCGATTATGCCAATTAGGGACATTGTTTCTCACCTTAGAGAGTGGACTTCAATGGAAAAAATATTCTACACTAAATTTCACTATGGGTCACCGATCAGAAAAAATCGGTAGCTACAATAGGTATTGAGAAATTGTCATTAACGAATTCGGATAATCTAAACATTAAACATATTTAGGTTATTTTAGTATAATTTTCAATTATGCCAATTATTGGCACTGCAAGCCATGTTAGAAGGTTGGTCTCAAAGGAAAACATATTCTCCACAATATTTCAGTATAGGTCACCGGCCAAAAGAAATCGGTATAAATGATAGGTGTCATGAAAATGGTCATGAACAAATTTGAATAACATGAAAAATAAACACTTTTAGGTTATCTTCATACATTTTCCGATTGTGACAATTTGGACCATTAGTCTTAATTTTAGATGGATGATGTTAATGGAAACCGAACACAAGAAATCGGTAGTTACAATAGGTGTCAAGAAAATATCATAAACGAATTAGGATAATAGGAAGATTAAACATTTTCAGGTTATATTTTTCAATTAAGTCAAATTGGACCGTTAGTCCTCATTTTTGATGGTTGATGTTAATGGAAAAAATATTCTACACTTAATTTCACTATGGGTCACCGAACACAAGAAATTTGTATATACAATGGGTGTTACGAAAATATAACAAATTTAGAATAATATAATATGAATATAACATTAATTTGTTTATGTTATTTTGGTACATTTTTCAATTATGCCAAATTGTAACACTCTCCTACATTTTAGAGAGTTAGTCTCAAAGGAAAACATATTCTACACAAAATTTCACTAAGGGTCACCTAACATAGTGACACGGTAAATATAATATTTAGCAGCAAAAATATCAATTTTAAATTGGCAATACAAATAAAGTATTTTGTTTTTAAAGATATCTCCGATATTTCTGCAAATATGCCAAAGTGTCCTGCAATTTCTCATTTCAATGGGATGGTGTCAATGGAAAAAATATTCTGCACTAGATTTCACATCGATTCTCCCCACAAAATAAATCTGTAAATGAAAAAAAAATATTATTTAATAAATAAATAAATAAATTTGCACAAAAATATTCATCATAGGGTACTTAATAACATTTCCGAAGACATCATCTACCCATAATATTAGGGTGTACCGAAATCACATCGATTTTATAACTACTAAAAATAAATTAAGGAGTTTTTTCGCTAGTGTATTTTAAAATGATGAAAAACATATCGAAAATTTGCAGCAGATTGATATATTCTACAAAAATGTTCCTCGTCGAGTTAATAACAATATTTCGGAAGACATTGGGTGCATAAAATGCAAGGATTATAAGGATCTGCGGCTATTTCAATTTTCTTGGTGATTTAGTTTTATATTTCAATAAATTTTTTAAAATGCCCTTGAAAGTCCCCTATGTCGAACTGCTAGAGGGTCGATATAGTCGGCAAAAATATTCCTCATAGGGTGCTTAATAAAATTTCCCAAGACATCATGTAGCCATAATATAAGGGTGTATCGATATCACATCGATTTTATAACTACTAGACATAAATAAAGGTTTTTTTGCTAATGAATTTTAAAATGATGGAAAAACTCATCGAACATTTGCAGCTAGTGTGTTGATATAGTCTACAAAAATATTTCTCATAATGTTGTTAACAATATTTCGGAAGACATTGGGTGCATAAAATGCAAGGATTACAAGGATATGTGGCTATTTCCATTACTTTAGTGATTTATTTTTATATTTTAATAAAATTTTTTAAAATGCCCTTGAAAGTCCCCTATGTCGAACTGCTAGAGAGTCTATATATATGAGGCAAAAATATTCCTCATTGGGATCTTGACAAGATTGTCAAGGATACTATAGGCCTACAATATATGGGTTTCCAGTACTCGCTTATATTTTGAGACCCTTCTGTAGGTCATTCAAATGAAAAGTCGTTAATAATTTTTTTTATAATTTTTTAAATGACCTCAAACTCCTCTTCCCTTTGCCGCTAGTGGGCTAATCTATTTAGGAAAAATATTCCTCATAGGGTTCTTGATAAGATTGCCAAAGGGACTGTGGGTCTACAATATAAGGTTTTCCAGTAATCGGTTGTATTTTGAGACCCCTTTTGTAGGTCTTTAAAATGCAAAGTCATTAATAATTTTTTTAAATGAACTTAAAACTTACCTTCCTTTGCCGCTAGAGGTTTAATATATTTAGGAAAAATATTCCTCATAGGGTTCTTGATAAGTATGCCAAAGGGACTTTAGGCCTACAATATAAGGTTTTCCAGTAATTGGGCATATTTTTGAGACCCTTTTGTAGGTCATTAAAATGAAATGATTGTATTTTTTATTTAATATTTTTAGTGGCCTTAATACTCGGCGTCCTTTTGCCGCTAGAGGGTTAATATATTTAGGAAAAATCTTCCTCATAGGGTTCTTGATAAGATTTACCAAAGATACTATAGGTCTACAATATAACGATTTCCAGTAATCGGTTATATTTTGAGACCCTTTTGTAGGTCACTAAAATGAAAAGTCGTTAATATTTTTTTATTATTTTTTTTAAATGACCTTAATACTCCCCTTACTTTTGCCGCTAGAGGGTTAATATATTTAGCAAAAATATTCCTCATGGCGTTGTTGATAAGATTGCTAAAGAGGCTGTGGGTCTACAATATAAGGTTTTCATGTAATCGGTTATATTTTGAGACTCTTTTGTAGGGTCTTTAAAATAAAAAATCGTTAATATATTTTTTTTGTATTATTTTTTTAAATGACCTTAAAACTCGCCTTCCTTTTGCCCCTAGAGGGTTAATATATTTAGGAAAAATCTTCCTCATAGGGTTCTTGATAAGATTGGCAAAGGGTCTGTGGGTCTACAATATAAGGTTTTCCAGTAATCGGTTATATTTTGAGACCCTTTTGCAGGTCATTAAAGTGAAAAGACGTTATTAATTTTTTTAAATGACCTTAAATGTCCCCTTTCTTTTGCCGCTAGAGGGTTAATATATCTAGCAAAAATATTCCTCATAGGGTTCTTGATAATATTGCCCAAGAAACTATAGGTCTACAATAGAGGGGTTTCCCGAAAAGTTGTATATTTTAAAAAACCTTCAGGGAAGGTCATAGGAAAATTAAAAGTCGTAAATATTTTTTTTATTTCTTTGTTATATGCTTTATTTCTGTATTTATATTTGTTGTTGTATAGCATACTGCAAATATATCATCAGTTTATTTATTTTTTTATATTTTATGTGTTTCATTTTTTAATGCTTGCAATTTATTATTTCGTTTATTTTTATTTTTCGAAAAATACATTTAAACACATTTATTTTTGTTGTTGTTATTAAATTGCAAGTTAATTTAATTGTTGTTGTTGTATTTTTTTTTCAATATAATGCAGTCATACATACTATATTCTTCCAAAGAGATTCTACAAAGAAATTCAATCATGTATTACAGAGATACATTTACAAAAAAATATATATGATTTGTTTTTTTCTTCTTCTTCTTCTTCTTATAAATCTGTTGTGTGTGTGTGTGTGATTTTTTGTATATAGTACTTTTTTTTTTTGAACGAACATATATTAATTTTCTACAGCTACTAGTACTACGACGACGACATAATATGGGTTTACAATTTTTTTTTAATACATATTTTTATGATTTTTGTGGGGTGGGGGTGGAGGAGAAATAATGGGAATATGAATTTTTACTTGGGTCGAATTTAAATTAAATGTAACAAAAAAATAAAGAAACATAATAGGATGGGTGGGTATTTGGGGCGGGAGATGGTGATGTTGTGGCTCCTAAAAATATGCTAACAATAATAATTTTTTCGTTAATTTTAAATTAGAATTAAAAAACAAGAAAAAATATATAGGCATGAATATATATTTTTTATAATAATAATAATAATAATGGTAATAATGATAAACATAAAAATATAACAATGGGGTTTCATTTTTTTATTTTAATTTTCGAATAATGTCTTCCTTTTTTAAATGGCTAATGGTATCCTTAGGCAAATGAGGATTCAAGAGCATTTCCATTTTAGCACATTTTGCTTTACTAAAGAAAAAAAAACACCGTAGTGAAAACATAATAATATTAAATTATAAACAAAAAAATATTTAAAAAATAAAATAATAAAAATAAAACATTAAAAAACTAAATCAAATTGTATGGAATATTTTTTATATAATTAATGAATTTTCTTTCTCGTTTTTACTTCATTTTAGAAATAAACATACATTGTTATAATATAGGATATTAACAAATTATTTTATTTTATTTTTTTATATTACAATACAGTTTTTAAATTTTTCTGTTGTATATATGTATATTTTAATTTTTAATATTAAGACTAATCGTTGATTTCTATTTAGAAATTTGTAATCAATTGTTAATGGTGTTTGTTTGCTTCAGCTCAATTCTAAATTTTGGGGGGGGGAGGGGGGCAGGAGCACACACACCCGAACTTTTATCATGGAGGGAAGAAAACTAGAAAATGCATACTTTTAAGATTACGTTCAAATTGTGGCCAAATCTTCTAAAATCCTTCATTTTAGAGGGAAAGTTCCAATGGAAAACTTGTCCAGAATCAAATTTCACTATGGATCATCATTTGACAGGAAATCGGTAGTTATAATGCAAATCGATAAAAAATCGATGAACCAATTTTCATTCAAAGAAAAATGCATATTTTTAAGGGTACGTTCAAATTGTGGCCAAATCTTTCAAAATTCTTCATTTTAGAGAGAAAGTCTTAATGGAAAACTTGTTCTAAATCGAATTTCACTATGGGTCACCATTGAAAAAAATCGGTAGATATAGTACAAATCAATAAAAAAAATAGCTTAACAAATTTATATTGAAAGAAAAAATATATTGTTAAGGTTATTTTTCAGTTGTGGCCAAATCATCCAAAATTCTTCATTTTACAGAGAAAAGTGTAATGAAAAACTTGTTCTAAATCAAATTTCACTATGGGTCTCCGAACAAGAGAAATCTGTAGATATAGCACAAATCAATAGAAAATCGGTAAACCTATTTTCATTGAATGAAATATATATATTTTTAAGGTTATTTTTCAATTGTGGCCAAATCTATTAAAATTCTCCAATTTAGAGGAGAGGTCCCAATGGAAAACTTGTTCTAAATCAAATTTCACTATGGGTCTCCGAACAAAAGAAATCTCTAGATATAGTAAAAATCAATACAAAATCGGTAAACAAATTTTTATTCAAAGAAAAAAATATATTTTTAAGGTTAATTTTCAATTGTGGCAAAATCGTTCAAAATTCTTCTAATGGAAAACTTGTTCTAAATCAAATTTCACTATGGGTTTCCGAACAAAATAAATCTGTAAATATTATACAAATCAATAGAAAATCGGTAAACCTATTTTCATTGAATGAAAAATATATATTTTTAAGGTTATTTTTCAATTGTGGCCAAATCTATTAAAATTCTCCAATTTAGAGGAGAGGTCCCAATGGAAAACTTGTTCTAAATCAAATTTCACTATATAGTATAAATCAATATAAAAATCAAAAGCAATTGTGTAAAAATTTGTCACAATTAAAAATTATTAATAAATACTCAGAAAAAAAACGGCTAAATGTTTACTCATATATCATTGTTCTATATTATATATACCGATTTCATTTGTTCGGAGACACCTAGTGAAATTTTATGTACAACAAATTTTCCATTGGTACCCAACTCCTAAAATTTAGTTTTATGAAATTTTTGAGGCAATTTCAAAAATGCCATGAAAAAAATTAGGAGACAAGTAAATTTGTCTTCTTTTGTTTAATCAATTTATTTGAGTTTATTTTACAGTTATATAATAGATTTAGAGATTTTTTTTATATTCAGCAACTTATAGTGAAATTTAGTGTAGAATAAATTTGTCTTTGGTTCCAAGGCTCTAAAATAAAAAATAAAGGACTTGGCTATACCAAATGGAAAACTTTAAAGGGCATTTTGTGTTTTCTTATTTGTTTTTTTTTTTTTAATTTTTTCTATAATTTGTGTAACCAATTTATTTGAGTTTATTTTACAGTTATATAATAGAATTGTTTCCTTACTTTGTTACATTTTTTATAATTTGTGTATCCAATTTATTTGAGGTTATTTTACAGATTTCTTTTATTATTTCTTTAGTTCCAAGGCTCTAAAATAAAAAATAAAACTTGGCTATATAGTGAAATTACCGGTATATAAAAGATTTAGAGATTTTTTATATTCAGCAACTTATAGTGAAATTTAGTGTAGAATAAATTTCTCTTTAGTTCCAAGGCTCTAAAATAAAAAATTAGGGACTTGGCTATACCAAATCGAAAACTCTAAAAGGGCATTTTGTGTTTCCTTACTTTGTTACATTTTTTATAATTTGTGTATCCAATTTATTTGAGGTTATTTTACAGTTATATAACGGATTAAGAGATTTATTTTATTCAGCAACTTATAGTTAAATTTAGTGTAGAATAAAATTCTCTTTGGTTCCAAGGCGCTAAAATAAAAAATAAAGGACTTGGCTGTACCAAATCGAAAAATCTAAAAATATCATTTGTGTTTCCTTGCTTTTTTAATTTCCTATATAATTTTATCTTTCTCTTGCCTACAATTTCCTATATATGACATTTCTCTCTCATCAAAAAAGTTGGTGTGTGTCTCCCCTCAAATGTGGTGTTTTTTTTAATTTATTTTTACAATAAATCTATCATTGGAAACATTTTTGTGTTGGGTTTATAATATTTTGAAAATACTTTTAAGCATATTTTGTTTATTTTTATTTGAATTATTCAAAACTTTTTAACAAAGCATTTGTATTTTTGCCATTAATTTTTCTTCATTTTGCTCTAATTTTTTTTAAATATATAATTTTAATTTTTTTATAATTTGTTTTGTATACATTTTAATTTTAATTATATTGCACAAATGCACAACTCCATTGTTTATAATAGGGGGTGGTATGGTGGGGATATACAAAGAGGCAAACTTAATAAGAAATATTAAAAAAAAAACATAAAACAAGAAAAAATTAATTTTTAATTATTCTCATTCTCAATTGTGTTTTTAAAGAGAGAGTTTAAAATTTATATACTATTATTTAGTTTTAAAAATATTTCCAAAGTATATTTAATATTTTGTTTGTTTTTTCTTTAACATTACGGTACGGAGTACTTTGTAAATTTAAAGCGATTCTCAAAAAATGTTTTTTTTTCTTTTTTGTTTTTGCAATTTCTCTTATATAAATCTCTATTATGTATGTTTTAGTTATACATTAAAGAAAAACATATTTGTTGTTGTTGTAGTTTATGAATATGGCAATCAAAATAATATGTAATAATTATATTTAGTTATTATTTATATAACTGTATTAGATTAAGAGTATAGTATATATAGTATGTTTGTTTGTTTTGCTTTGTTTTTAAAAATATTTGTTGTATTTTTAATTTTAATTTTTTTTTTTAAATATAATTAATAATTAATTTCCTAATGAGAGAAGATAAACATTTAATTTTTTGTTTTTCTTGGAGTTTTGAATTAGCAAATCCTAATTTTGTTTAATAGGAAAAATTTTGCATTATTTTTATTTTGCCAAAGACCAAAACTAAAAATTGTTTCAAAATTTTGTTGAATATCTTTTTTTAACAACAAATTTCAATTTCAATTAATTTCACATTTTTATTTCTTTTGTTTACTTGCGTTTTGTGTGGATTTTGTAGCACCAGCCACATAGCCACTTGTGTTGCCGCCGGAACCCGCAGAACCATGACTTGAACTTGCCGAAAATTGTTCACGTTTTAAACTTGCCGAGGACGAAGAAGAAGAAGTGCTCGTCGTTGTTGTTGTTGTGGTTATGGGAGATTTTGTTGATCTACCCTGGCTACTGGTGGTATTTGTTTTAGTTGATTGTTGATTTGTAAGGGGATTCGTCTTGCTACTGCTGCTACCACCAATAATAGTTGTGGGCACAGTAGTTGTATTAGTTTGTTGCGTAGTTAATTTTGTAGTTTTAGAAGCAGTATCTACAGTTGCTGGACAAAAAAAAGATAGGAAGAGAAAAAGAAAATTAGAGGAGATAATTAAAAATAAAAACATAATTCGATAGTACTTTTCAAATATCCCAAAATTATCCCTAGTTATAGATTTTAGACGTATGCTGTCAAGGGAAAAAAGATTCTACACAAAATTTCACTCGGGGTCACAGAACATAAGAAATCGCTATATATAGTATATAGCTCGGAAAATATCATAAACAAATTGGATAATTGAAAATAAAAATTATTAAAATCTTGTAAATAGTTATTTAGTACTATTTTTTGAAATATACCAATTTTTCCCTAAATATAGATTTTGGGGGAGGGATGTCAAGGAAAAAAAGATTCTACACAAAATTCCACTCGGGGGTCACAGAACATAGGAAATCGGTATATATAGTATATAGATCAGAAAATATCATAAACAAATTGAATAATTAACAAAAGAAACGATTAAAATCTTTTAAATGGTCATTTGGTACTATTTTTTTGAAATAGACCCATTCTCACCTAAATATTGATGTTAGGGAAGAGGTGTCAAGGGAAAAAAGATTCTACACAAAATTCCACTATGGGTCACTGAACATAAGAAATCGGTATATGTAGTATATACCTCGGAACATATCATAAACAGATTGGATACTTGAACAAGAAATGATTAAAATCTTTTAAATTGTCATTTGGTCTTGATGTTAGGGCAGGGTGTAAAGGGGAAAAGATTCTACACAAAATTCCATTATAGGTCGCAGAACTTAAGAAATCGGTATATTTAGTACATATCTCGGAAAATATCAAAAACAAATTGGATAATTGAAAATTAAATTATTAAAATCTTGTAAATGGTAATTTAGTACTATTTTTTGAAATAGACCAATTTTTCCCTAAATATAGATTTTGGGGGAGGGGTGTCAAGGGAAAAAAGATTCTACACAAAATCCCACTCGGGGTCACAGAACATAAGAAATCGCTACATATAGTATATATGTCGGAAAATATCATAAACAATGAGGATAATTACAATAGTTTAAATTATCATTTGGTGCTATTTTTTGAAATAGACCAATCCCGCCCAAATTATTGATATTAGGAGAGGGGTGTACAGGGAAAAATATTCTATACAAAATTCCACTATGGGTCACAAACAATAAAAACGGGGGTTTAAAAATATATATCTCAGAAAATAAAAAAAAAAATGTGGCTTAATGAAGAATTTATTTCCATGCATTAGAATTTTGAAAATAACACTTTTCCCGTCTAATTATTATTTTTAGAGGGGTAATGCCAATGGAAAAAATATTCTACACAAAATCCCACTCGGGGTCACAGAACATAAGAAATCGCTACATATAGTATATATGTCGGAAAATATCATAAACAATGAGGATAATTGAAACAATGAGGATAATTACAATAGTTTAAATTATCATTTGGTGCTATTTTTTGAAATAGACCAATTCCGCCCAAATTATTGATATTAGGAGAGGGGTGTACAGGGAAAAAAATTCAAAATTCCACTATGGGTCACAAACAATAAAAACCGGGTTTTAAAAATATATATCTCAGAAAATAACAAAAAAAAAATGTGGCTTAAATGAGAATTTATTTTCATGCATTAGAATTTTGGAAATAGCCATTTTCCCATCTAATTATTATTTTTATTTATTTTTTACTCCCTGTAATCACTATAGATCCCTATGTCTGAGTAGACGTCGTTTTTTTATCGCAGCTGATCATTTCTTTTATATTGCCGTTTATCATCGATTAAACTATTTGAAATATACATTGGTGCCACTTTTATTGTTTATATAATTTCGGTTTATAAAAATTTCCGGAGTTTTTATAATTTTTAAACGAATTACAATTCGTGCATTTTTGCATTGCATTCTTATTGCATAAGCTTGCTGTGTTGCTTTGTTGGTGTGTTGCTGTTACTGCTGTTGCTTTTCTGCTTCTTCTTTGGCTGTTGTTGTTTACCGGTTCTTTTGATATGCCTGCTACTAGAGTTGCTAAATGCAAATTGTGTGATGGATCCATTACTAAGACGCAAAGTAGTGTTCTATGCCGAGCATGTAACTGTTGGATACATACATCTTGTGCAAATATTGATGAAAAGAATCTGCATGTTTTAAAGACGGTAAAATCGTTTGCGTTTATTTGCCCTGCTTGTGAACCTAATCTAAATGGCAACTGTAATAACGATGGCATTTTAGAAAAAATAAACAGTCTGACAGAGAAATTAGATAACTTTATGCAGAATTATCAAACAGAGCAAAATTCTATTAAAACTGTTTTGGATGGTATAAGGAAAGAAGTGAGCTCGTGTGTTGCAGAGATGAAGTCTGACATCAAGGAATGCAATAGTAATATTCGGCGTGTTGAGACTACTACTACTACAAAATTTGTTGCTCTTGAGAAGGAGGACAATATAATTCATAGAAGATTGAATCGTTCTGACATTTTAATTAGTGGTCTGCCTGCAGGACTTAATGACTTGGAAGCTCCTGTGATTGCCTTGGGGTCCTTTTTTAATGTACCTGTTGCTAGCTTTGATATTCAACATGTCTGTTATATCAATCACAGAAAACAAATTCTCGTTAAGTTTAACAAAGTTTCTAAACGTGATGATTTGATGAGAGAATATTTTAAGACTCGTAATCTCAGAGTATCTGATATTTTGAGTGGACATGGTGATGACCTGAGAAATCGTGTGTACTTGAATGATCATTTCTCCCCTTTGGCTGCTCAGTTGAATTTTGTATGCAAGAGACTTCGTCAATTATCCGTTGTGAAGAAATTTAAAATTTTAAATTTTGATGTGCCGAGAGCTTTGCTGGTATTTGTGGATGGTAGAGAGGAAACTTACAATGCAAGTCAATGTGATGCTCTGCTTCGTGATGCTGATACAGTGAGCAGTTGATGCCTACTTGTGTATCGTATGTTATTTATTTTATTTACTCTGCTTTAATTTAATTTAATTTTTTTTCTAATTTTTTTATTGATCTCTTATTGTGTTTTTGATCAGCTGCGTTAGAGTTGGTTGTAAATTTTTTTATATAAATTGATAATGTTAAATAGTAAACACGAATTTTTGTTTTGTATTTGGTTCCCCTATGTAACTGTATTAATTTTTATTATTGATGTCTTTTAGTGATAATTTAGGACCAGTGATTAGCAGCAATGAATACTTTAATAGAGTTCTCAGATCTTGCCATGATAAGTTCAATATTGGTCATTGGAATTGTAGAAGTATGAGACCTTCTGTGAATTCTACTAAGTTTTGTGAAATGAAGTCTATTCTATCTGGTTCTGGCATAAATGTTCTTGGTGTCTCTGAAACCTGGTTAAAACCTGAAGTTTCTAACCGTGTTGTTGCTATACCTGGGTATAAGTTTCTTAGGAATGATCGTCAAAACATAAGAGGTGGTGGTGTAGGAATTTATATTATGAATGATATTCGGTATAAGATCGTTTTTAAGTCGTCTATCTTGGGAAAATGCGAGTCTCTCTTTATTGAAATATTGTCGGGTGATGTTAAACTATTATTTGGTGTGGTGTATCTTCCTCCTCCAGGTGACTTTGCTGCTTTTGAAAATATGCATGCTGATTTATGTTTGAATTATTCCAGTATAGTCATTGTTGGTGATTTTAATTGCAATTTGTTCGATCCTCATAAGGCTCTGTCCGTCCGCTCTATCTGCTTCCGGTTAAACTTATCTATTCTACATAATTCCATACCTACTCACTATGATATGTCGCATAATTCGTCTTCATTAATTGATTTTATGTTAGTTAGCAACTGTTCCATGATTTATCTTTCTGATCAAGTTATTTGTCCATCTATTTCTGACCATTCCTTAATTTTTGCCTCACTTAATGTCAACATTAGCACATTTTGTGAATTTGTTGAATACCGTGACTACGCGAACATAGACTGGAATGGATTTTTTAGCTATTTATCTGCATTTGATTTTACAGTGTTAAATGTTGTTGATGTGGATCTTAAATGTTCTCTGCTATCTTCAATTATTGTCGATTTGTTTGCCTTTGTTCCCATTGTACGTAAGAAAATTCGTCCGGATGATAATTGGATTAGTACGAATACCGTAACTTTGGCTCGATCTCTTCGTGATATGGCTTATTGTTCTTACCAACAAAACAAAAATGCTGATAGTTGGAAAATATATTGTAAGTACAGGAATAAAGCTAAGTCCGTTATTCGAAGAGAGCGTAGGAAGTTTTATTCTAGAAAGTTTAAAGGGATGGGTTCTACTGCGCTCTGGCGCTTTCTTAGAGGATCTGGAATTACAGGAGATGATGGCATGGAGTGTAATATTGATGTCGATGTTATGAATTCAAATTTTGTTTTCCATAATCACAGTACCAACGATTTTGACAATTTGTTCATCGATAATTCTGATAATGGTTTTTCTTTTTGTGCTGTTTATGTTGAAGATATTGTTGTGGCTCTGAACAAAGTTAAGTCTAAATCCATTGGTGTAGATGGAATACCCATTGATTTTTTGAAGCTTGTTTTTCCATATATTTGTGATTACGTTCTTGATTTGATCAATTCTGTGTTAATGACTTCTGTATTTCCTTTGACTTGGAAGAAAGCTCGTGTGGTCCCTATACCGAAGGTTAGTGTTGTTCGTTGCTCTGAAGATCTCAGGCCTATTTCTATTCTCCCTGTTTTGTCTAAATTGTGTGAGCACATTATTAAGGAACAAATACTGGCACATGTGAGTAGACAAATTTATGATGGCCAGTTTGCCTATCGTAGACATCATAGTACTACTGCATTGCTGTTATATATGACTGATATGATTAGGAATAATGTAAACATGAATAAAAATACCGTTGTTGTTTCGTTAGATTTAACCAAAGCGTTTAACTCTATTTCGTTTTCTATGTTAATTTGTAAACTTAAGAATGAATTCAATTTTTCTGTATCTGCTTGTAGGCTTGTTATGTCTTATTTGATTGGTAGAACTCAATTTGTTTCATTTAATGGAAACTCTTCTGCAATTCTCCCTCTTACATGTGGTGTTCCACAAGGCTCTGTTTTGGGCCCCTTGCTTTTTGTTCTTTACGTAAATAATATTGCTGATTGTGTTTGTAATGTGAACTGTAAACCGCTTTTATTTGCGGATGATATATTTCTTATATTTAGTGATGACGGGAGTTCTCCGTTCCATTTTGAAAATTCTATTAATCATACTCTTGTTCAGATTAAGCAGTGGTGTCTAGACAATTCACTGATATTGAATCCTGCTAAGACTAAAGCCATTGCATTCGGCAATCAGACACATAGAATTGACATCCATCTTGATCAAAATTCAATAGACTTTGTTGACCGTTTTAAAATGTTGGGCATATTTGTGGATAACAAACTTGTTTTTGATACTCAAGTTGACTTTATCCAGCGGAAAGTTTATGGCATTATCCGGAAGTTATATTCTACGGATATATTTTTACCACCTTGGGTGAAAAGAAGATTGGCTTATGCTCTTCTGATGCCCCATATTATTTACGGGTTAGAAGTTTATTCTGGCACGCTTGATCGAGTATTTTTAAGGCTGAAACGTGTTGTGAACTCAATAGTGCGTTATGTTTATGGTATTCAACGTCGCGAACATGTTTCAGGCTATGTTGTGAGTTTCTTGGGATCAAACTTTGAGCAGTTTGTAACAAGTAAAATTTTATGCTCTTTCCATAGAATAATTAAGAGTGGATCGCCTGTATTCTTGTCTAATATGTTCCATTTTATGTTATCTACTAGAAGTACTCAGATATTTATACCCAGAGTATACAACTCTATGTTTGAGAAATCGTTTGTTGTACGTGTCGCTCGAACGTGGAACTATTTGCCAGTAGAGCTAAGGATATTTTCGCAGTCGAACAATGCTTTTCGATTGAAACTGCTTAACCATTTTCGGACTTTTGATAATATTTGATTCCTGATTTAGTTTACTTGCTTTTTTATTCGTTTTTACTATTTTTTCATAAATTTACCTTAGTGCTATTGCTGAATAATTGACATAATTTCATATATTGCTGCTTTCACTACCTTTTTGCTATTTTTCCTTTTCGTTTTAGTTACGGCTGGGGAGCCAATACAATATATATACAAACACTTTAGTTAAGTTAAGTTTTTTAGTTTTTAATGTCTACTTTGATAAGAGCTTTGTAATACTATATGTTGGCCTTGAAGGCTTTAGTATTCTTGAATGAAATAAATAAATAAATAATGCCAATGGAAAAAATATTCTACACAAAATTCCACTATAGGTCATCGACAAGAAGAAATCTGTGTATATAATATATATCAAGAAAATTATATTAACAAACTTGACTAAGAGGAAATTATCAATTTTTTAGGTTATTTTCGATTATGTCAAACTGGGCCATTGTTCTTCATTGTAAGAAGTTGGTCTCAATGGAAAAATTTTTCTACACAAAATTGCACTATGGGTCACCGAACAGAAAAACCCTCTACATATAATAGATATCAATAATATTACGTTAACAAAATTGAGTAATTGTAAAATATCACATTTTAATGTTATTTTCGTTTATTTTTCAATTAAGCCAAATTGAGGCATTATTCTTCATTGTAGAAAGTTGGTCTCAATGGAAAAAAGATTCTACACAAAATTCTAGTATGGGTCACCGACCAGAAGAAATCTGTTTAACAGATGTCAAGAAAATTGTATTAATAAATTCGATAAATAGGGAAATATCACATTTTTAGGGTTATTTTCCTATATTTTTTCAATGATGTCAAAATGGGCCATTGTTCTCTATTTTAGGAAGTTGGTCTCAATGGAAAAAATATTCTACACAAAATTCTAGTATGGGTCACCGAACAAAAGAAATTTGTAAATATAAGGTATACCCCAAAAAATAACCAATAAACATTTAATTATGGAAAAATAACCTATTTTTACATTAATTTTATTCTATTTCAGAACGATAGCAATATCTCCCCTTCTTCTTCACTTCAGCGGTTTGGTGTCAAAGGAAAACAGATTCTTTATAAAATTTCATTATGGGTCACCTCACAAAAGAAAATTGTAGGTCAAGTAGTAACCCAAAAAATATCATGTAACAAATTGTGAACCGAAATAATTTGTAGGTTATATTGAATATATTTTGCAAAAGACCCAATTTTTCACTGAACGTTACATTTTGGAGGGGTGGTATTAAAGGGAAAAATATTCTCCATAAAATTTCACTATAGGTCACTGAACAAATGATAGCTGTAAAAACAAAGGGAACCCCAAAAAATAACTAATATACATTTGATTATGGAAAAATAACCACTTTTTGCATTAATTTTATTCTATTTTCGGATTATAGCAATTTCTCCCCTTCTTCTTTACTTTAACGGGTTGTTGTCAAAGGAAAAAATATTCTCCATAAAATTTGACTATGGGTCACCTCACAAAAGAAAACTGTAGGTCAAGTAGTAACGTAAAAAATATCATGTAACAAATTGTGAACCGAAATAATTTTTATGGTTATATTGAATATATTTTGCAAAAAAACCCAATTTTTTACTGAACGTTACATTTTGGAGAGGTGGTATTAAAGGAAAATATATTATCCACAAAAGAAAATTGTAGGTCGTCAAGGAGTTAGTATAAAATACCCCATTTAATTTCACTTACTGCTTTCGTGGCATTTCGGCATTTTCTGACCACCATCATCTTTAGAAAATGCTCCTCCTCCTCCGGAACTAGTAGTGGTATCCATTTTATTTCCCCTTTCATCATCGGCCGCACCGCCCTCGTGATGTTCGGCAATTGTTTGCATAAAACCCGGTGTCAACGATTCCGATGTACTGGTGGGTGAATCCTTTTCTTCGGCAATGCGAGGTAACATCATATCACCCGGCATGACCATACCGGATGGTGTACTTACTAGAGCAGAAGTGGAATTAGAACTTACACTTTGTGAAATATCGCACATAATGGTGTCTTCAATGGTAGTGGTGGTGGTTGGTTGGTTGGAGTTTGATGATGATAAATGTTGTTCGCACTGTTCAATCAAACGACTACAAGCTGATGATGGAGCAGACGAGGACGAGCAGGAGGTGTTGTTGGTGGCGGTGGTGGTCAATTGCTGTTGTGGTGAATGAAGGCCGGTTATAGGTGGTAAAGTGGTTCCCGTTGCTACTGATCCTCCTGCACCGATGCCGGATGATACCGAAGCCGATGATGTGCAGATTGCCGCCTGACCACTTGTTGTTGTTGCTGCTGCCGAAATACAGGAATTATTAGCATTTGAATTATTAGTGTTGTTGTTATTGTTATTGTTCGGACGCCATACTCCACCAATAACACGCTGTGGCTGTTTTATGGGTGGCGAACAACATAAGGGGGAAATCAAAGTACATTTTGTCTCAGCACTACGTGGATGTAGACGATCTGGCGATAGGGCTCTCCTTAACAGCGGCGAACTAGGCTCCGAAGATTTTGTGCGTACAAATCCGGTTTTCTTAGAGCCTGCTGTGACCGTCTGCACCACAGGCAATGAACCACCGGGACTATACGATTGTGTGGTATTCGAGGAGCCCGGTTGATGGCCAATCAAGGGGAAAGCCAATGGCGATGGTGAACGTGTGGGCGACGAGGGAAGTGGTGATGGTGAGGGTGTTCTAGCCAACGGTGACAGTGGAATATGACCTACAGATTTACGGCGATTTGGCATGGAGGCTGTGGAATTTGTGTGCAACGATTTGACTCCCGAACCAGTGGGACAGACGGCGGTGTTACCAGCACAACCGGTGTGTAATTTGTGTTTCAAGCCATGCAGCGTTGAAGGTCGTTGGTACAGCTGTGGCACCGATGTTGGTGAAACTGCGAAGAAGATGAGGAAACAAAGTAAGTAGAAATTTGAGGCGGGAAAATTAAAAATCATACCTGGTATATTGCCCATTACACCCACAACCGGATTGCCACCTGCAGTGGCTGCACCACTAACGGAACCGGCAATTGGTAATAGCACGGTGTTCGAAGTGCTAACAAAACCCACACCTGTATTATTGCCTGGACCAGAAACAATGTTGGCGACAACACCACCATTGCCATTACCCGCAGCGGCAGCTGCACCACCACCCGTTGGTGTATTGGGAGAGGATGATGAGGGTGATGTTGATTGGGATGATGTGGCCGCCGATTGACAACAACTACTACTATGATATGATGAGTCCAAAGGAGATAAATTCCTACCAATGACCGAGCCGCCGCCAACAGCCGAGGGTGTTGTGGGCGAGTTGATGCCAGCTGCCATCTAGAAATCACGAAAAACCAATTAAAAAATATCGAAAAAAGTGCATCCTGTCTCTTACCTGTTGAATTTCCGCCGAAGCTCTCTTATTGCTGATACGCCTAAACAACGATGTCTTACGCTTCTTGTCATGCTCCTTTTTCGTTTGCTTCTTTTGGCGATTCACGCCCTTCTTGGCCAATTTCGATTGCATCAGATCCCGTTTACGGCCACCACTTTGAATGCTGGTATGTTCTAAGGGTGTGGCCCTCAGGGTGACATGTTCACCGCCACTTAACAGCAGCTGCAAGACCTGTGTATGGAACAGACCTTGCACTGTTTCACCATTAACGTGTGTTATCAGATCGGCCGGTCTTAGGCCAGCCTCAAATGCAGGACTACCCTCATCCACCGCCATTACCAAGTGATGCATGGTATAGAAATCCGTGTCGCCGTAATACACTCGTATTGTGTGTACGGTGAAACCGAAGCCGCGCGGTCCACGTCTAATAATAATCGGTGGCTTGAGATTTGTAACCAAGGGCGAGAGTTCACGACATGGCGAGGTGTCACGTGATGAGGCGGTGCTGGAACCACCGCCGCCGCCGCCACCGGCTGTTACACTGCTAGGCGATTGTATGCCGGCGGTGATGTTACACAATTGTTGGGCCAATTGGACATTGTCAACTAAAAAGAGAGAGAGAGAAAAAAAAGAAAATCGGAGATAATTAAATGTGGAAGGGAGCTATATCTAAATCGGAAGTGATTTCATGCTTCAAGGAGATAATTAAATATGGAAGGGAGCTATATCTAAGTCGGAAGTGATTTCAAGCAATTATAACACACATCTTTCGCTGAGCTATGCAGAACTTCGACTCAATAAATGAAATTAACCTTAAAATTTGAAGGTTGATATTATTAAAAATGGTTAATGCGAATTTTCTTCTCATCTATTATATCTACAGATTTCTTCTGGCCGATGGCCCCTAGTGAAATTTAGTGTAGAATATTTCATCCACTGAGAACCACCCTCCAATATGAACAGAAGTTGCAGAAATTGACATAATTGAAAACACATACGAAAAAATAACCTAAAAAAATATTTCTACTATCCAAATTGTTAATGAAATTTTATCGTGACTTATATTATATATACAGATTTGTTCCGGTTGGGGACCCATAGTGAAATTTAGTGTAGAATATTTTTTGCTTTGGCTTCATCCCTCTAAAAGGAAGAACAGTGGCTGAATTGTGTATAATTCGAAAATAACCTAAAAAACTAAAAATATTTATGTCTTTATTGTCCGAATTAGTTAATGCAAATTTCTCAAGACCTACTGTAGCTACAGATTTCCTCTGTTCGTTGGCCTATAGTGAAATTTTGTGTAGAATATTTTTTCCTTTTAGGCCAACCTTCTAACTTGTCTTAAAGTGGTAAATATTTTCATAATTGAAAAACTATACGAACATAACCTAAAAATGTTTAAAAATATATAAAATTTGCACTGCACATTTTCTGGCCCCTATTATATTAACAGATTTCTTACTGTCGGTGACCCTTAGTGAAATTTAGTGTAGAACATGTTGTGTATTGAGACCAAACCTCTAACGAGAGATGCAGTGGTAATAATTGACATAATTGAAAAATAACCTAAAAGATGTTTATTGTTCCCCATTATCCAAATTTGCACATACAATTTCTTTGATTGCTATTATATCTACAGATTTCTTTTGGCCGGTGATTCAACATAAAATTTAGTGTAGAACATATTGTCCATTGAGACCAAACATCTAACATGACTTCCAATGCCAAAAATTGGCATAATTGAAAAATATACGAAAATAACCTAAAAATGTTCAATGTTCGCAATATACAAATTTGTTTGGGTACATTTTCTTGAAACCTATTATGGGTACAAATTTCTTTTGGTTGGTGACCCATAGTGAAATTTAGTGTAGAATATATTTTCCTTTGACACCGACCCTCTAACATGAAGATCAAAGGCTCTATTTGACTTAATTGAAAAACTATATAAAAATAACCTAAAAAATTTTAATATTCCCTATTATCCAAATTTGCAGATGAAATTTCCTCGATTCCTATCCCTACAGATTTCTTTTGGTCGTTGACCCATAGTGAAATTTAGTGTAGAATATTTTTTCCATTAGCTTCATCCTTCTAAAAGGAGAAGCAATAGCTCAATTGGGTATGATTCGGAAATAACCAAAAAAGCATTAATTTCCCTATTATTCAAATTTGTTAATGTAATTTTCTTGACATCTATCATAACCTCAAATAACAAAAAATACTTACTGGCTGATGACATTAACGATAGACCCAATGCCGAGGCTGATTTCACAATCGATGAACGTGAACGATGATTTTTCGTTGCCATATGACTATCAATCGATTTTTGATGCTGTAATGCCAATGGCGATTGTTCACGGGTATTCTCCGCCGACGATGATCCACCACTTATGGTTTCATCTTCTATGGAAATGGAGAACCTGGGCAATATATCACGAGCACATACACCCTTACGTTTACGTGCTATCTGAGGTGAGAAATCATCACTATCCGTCTGTGATGATTCCGGGGTACTGCGTGCTAACTTATGAGTATCGGCAAGTAGTTTTCGTTCGGTGGTTATTGTTGAAATTAAAGAAGGTGTGGCGGTTTTTATTGTTGCTATTGTTGTGGTTGTTGCGCCTGCTGTTGTTGTACTTGAGGTGGACGTAGATGAAGACGAAGAAGTTGTATCATTTTTAGTTGTGTTGGTGGCTCGTGGCATCTCCACGGTTGTCGATGATGATGAACCGCTGCTACCGCCGCTACCACTGGTTGTTGAAGAATTTGTTTCTTGAGATTTATTGATTGTGGTAGAGGAGGCCGAGGAGATGGTATTAGTTCTTTGTTGCTGCTGCTGTTGTTGTCCCACTTCAACGGGAGCATTAACCATGGCTGCTGGTGGTGTAGCTGGTGTGGTAATTATTGTTGTGGTATTGGGTGGCATACTGTGACGATGATGTTGTTGTGGCGGCGGTGGTTGCTGATGATGATGGTGGTGGTGCTGATGATGATGCCTCTCCGGCTTAATGGGCTGCAAAGCCAAACTGTTATGTTGCTGTTGGCCACCACCTCCTGGTTGTCTTAAGAACTGATTTAACATACGCAGTTCATTGTCATTGCCAATGGTAACATTATGCAACAGCTCGGGCAAATAATCGGCATCAGGTGTTGACGGAACCTTGACACATGTTGTGGAAAGCTAAACAAAGAAAAAACAACAACAAATTAAGTAATTCTTCCCAAACGCAAAAAAAGGAAAGATTTCCAAGCCTTACCTCAATTTTCCTTAATTGCGGTGTGGTCAATACCTTATTGACCATATGTTGATTTATTGTACTAATTGTTGTAATACTATTGTTGTTGCTACTTCCAGCAGATGTAGCCGCAGCCAAGGGGGCAGAAACTTTACGACACTTGGCCACCGAATCCACGGTATTTGTGGGTGATGAAGAACTTTCCGTAACCATTAGTTTAGTTTCTTTAGTAGTCGTCGCTTCGCTGGTTGTAGTGGTTCCGCTAACTGTTGTTGTAGTTATTGTTCCAGTTGTGGCTGGTGTATTTTGAACTGATGTTGTTGTTGCTGGATAATTTTGTGAGGTCGATGAGGCCACAGATGTGGTCGATGATGCCGATGTTGTACGCGACCATGAATAATGTTGTTTGCGATATTGTGGTGTATACGATGAAAAAGAACCGAAAACCGGAGTATCATCGGTATCGTCGGTATCCTCACCACCCAAATCATGATTGTAACGGTCCATGCGGGCTGTAGGAGAAATTAAAAAATTATAGATAAAATGAATAAAACGATTAAGTGACGGAAAATTCCCATTACAAAAAATACAAATAATCGGCATCAGATTCTGCCTAACCTAATATAGCTCGAACCTAAGTTTGTCCGGCGACCTATAGTGAAATTTTGTGTAGAATATTTTTTTCCATTTCGACCAACACTCTAAAATGAAGAATAGTGGGTCAATTTGGCACAATTGAAAAGTATTAGAAAATAACATATAAATGGTCCCCATTATTCAAATTTGTTAATGTACATTTTCTTCACATCTATTATAGCTACAGATTTCTTCTAGTCGGTGAACTAGAGAAATTTTTGTGTAGAACATTTCATTCATTGGGACCAAACTTCTATCCTGAATTTTAGTGCCAATAATAGGTAAAATCGAAAATATGCAAAAATAACCCAAAAATATTTAATGTTTTTACTATCCGAATTAGTTAATTTCCTTGATCCCTATTATATCTTCTGTTCGGTGACCCACAGTGAAATTTAGTGTAGAATATATTTTTCTATGACATCGACTCCCTAACATGAAGAACAAAGGTTCAATTTGGCTTAATTAAAAAACTATATAAAAATAACCTAAAAATTTTTAATTTTCCCTATTATCAAAACTTGCAGATGAAATTTCCTGGATCATTATTACATCTACAGATTTCTGTTGGTCGGTGACCCATAATGAAATTTAGTGTAGAATATATTTTCTTTTGACACCGACCCCCTAACATGAAGAACAAAGGTACAATTTGGCTTAAATGAAAAACTATATAAAAATAACCTAACAAATTATAATTTTCGCAATTATCGAAATTTGCAGATCAAATTTCCTCGATCCCTATTATATCTACAGATTTCTTTTGGTCGGTGACCCATAATGGAATTTAGTGTAGAATATATTTTCCTTTGACACCGACCCCCTAACATGCAGCACAAAGGCTCAATTTGGCTTAATTGAAAAACTATATAAAAATAACCTAAAAAATGTTAATGTTCCCTATTATCCAAATTTGCAGATGAAATTTCCTCGATCCCTATTATATCTACAGATTTCTTTTGGTCGGTGACCCATAATGGAATTTTGTGTAGAATATGTTTTCCTTTGACACCGACCCCCTAACATGAGGAACAAAGGCTCAATTGGCCTTAATTGAAAATGTTTATAAAATTAACCTAAAAAATTTCAATTTCTTCTACTATCCAAATTTGCAGATCAAATTTCCTCGATCCCTATTATATATACATATTTCTTTTGGTCGGTGACCCACAATAGAATTTAGTGTAGAATTTTTCTTCCATTGACATCAACTCTCTAATATGACGCCCAAAGGCCGATCTTGGCTTAATTGATAATTCACTTACTATCAAAATAACTGGTATCATCATCATTGGATAATTGTGGTACAAATTCCGCCTTTTGTCGCAATAGGGAATTCCAATCCAAACCATCGAAATAGAAATGTTCCTTAACCTCCAGCGCTCCGGCTTGAGTACCCAAACGATCACGTGGATTTTGTTGTAGTAATTGTGTTATAATATCTTTAGCCTCCGGCTGTACGGGCCAATCATCATTATCCGGCCATTCGATGTCATCGTTAACGGTATGAGCGAAGAGCTCCTCAGCCGTTTCACCAAAAAACGGTACACAACCAATTAAAAATTCATATAGAATTATACCCATTGACCACCAATCGACAGGTTTACCATAACCCTGACGTAATATCACTTCGGGTGCAATGTATTCGGGCGTGCCATAAACCTGGGAGAAAAGAGGAGAGTTAGTTAAATTGGAAATTTGAAATTTTTTCGTGGGGAGGTACTTCACTTACTTGCTTATCGGAAAATTGCCGCGTCTCCGAATCAATATAACCCTCATATAAATTTGTGGCCAATGACATTAAACCCATTTTCGATAGACCAAAATCGGTTAATTTTATGTGACCCAATGCCGTGATAAGTAAATTATCCGGTTTCAGATCGCGATGTACGATGCCATAACTATGCAAATACTCAACAGCTAATACAGTTTCGGCAAAATAAAATCGTGCCATATCGGCTGGCAATGGACCAATATTTTTCAGCAATGTGGCACAATCCCCACCCTCGACATACTCCATGACCAGACACAGATGCTTCTTCGTTTCAAACGAACAATACATGCTGACAACGAAGGGGTTGTCGGCAAACGACAGTATATCACGTTCGGCAAAGACCTGTTCAACCTGATTGCGTAAAATGAGATTATTTTTATTGATTTTTTTCATGGCGAATCGCTGCCGCGTGGTCTTGTGTTTAACCAAATAGACAGCACCGTAGGCACCATTTGAGATCAGTTTAACGATATCGAAATCGTGTTCGCTGGGTATGGGTTGGGGTGGTGGTGGTGGAAGTTGGCCGGCTGCTTGTTGTTGAGCATCTTGCGAAGCCAATGACTGCTGCAGCTGATGTTGTTGTTGCTGATGCTGCTGCTGGGCCCCAAACGAGGGCTTCAGGGCAGCCTTTTCCTGTGGCGTCAAATTCAAATTGGTTTGCTTATTGAGAGTGGCGCCAAAGGGTGGCATTTCCCCTGTGGCCACTGGCGTCTGCGGCGGCTGCAATGGCATTGGCGGGTGTGGTGTATTCGAACCACTGTTGGCCAACAAATTAAGTTCGGCATTTGGATTCAGGGTCACCGAGACACAGGTCAGCGGTGAACTTAGTAACAACGAGCATGGGGTACCCGAATCATTGAGAACACTTGAATTATTCGAACCCTTATTGTCACAGACCTCCCGGGTCTCTTTAGCCTCTTGTTGCATCTCCGCAATGGGATCCCGATTCAAACCCAATTTATGGATTATATACTGCGGTATGTCCGCCTTGATGCCCTGTATGGCCTTGGCCTGACCCTCGGCAGCCTCAAGTAAATGATAAAACTCTTCGGGATCAAATTCCAGGCATTCCAATAACCTCGCGGGACGTGAAATGATTAGTAACAGCTTCTTAATGACACCCGCCAATTCCACAGCAGCTTCGGGACTTTTCTCTTTCGTCTCCATTAGGAGACGTTCGAGGTTTTCACTCATTTCATAGAAATACCGCGATGTGATTAGTTTGGCCTCGGATTTATTGAGGCAGTCACGGGCCATTTCCAGCACCTGATGATGTACAAACCGGACAATGGGTTGTGAGTCGCGGAAGCTATTGCACACGGCGGATTTATTTTCATTAATGAAGTGTTTTAGTCTCTCCTCCATTTGTTGGGTGGCCTTGGGGAATCGCTCCTTATACATGGTGTTCATCAGGGCAATTTCACTGTCAATTGCAGGCGAGCGGGAGGGACTTGACAGGGAGCGGGAACGGGGTCGGTGGAAGGGAGACATTCGTCCGCCATTGTTGTTATTGTTGCCAGGACCAGCAGCAGTGCCGCCAGGGGTCCTGTTAGCCGGATTACAGGCGGTGTTTAGTTCAGCACAACAATTGGCACAGGCCTTTTGGGGTGTACCAGGTGGTCCGGCGGCAGCTGTGGCGGCATTTCCAGTTGGCACATTTGGTGGTGTTGGTTGTGGTTTAAATTGCTTAGGACTTGCCTGTCCTGGGACGGTATTTTTATTCGTTGTTGAGTTAACACTGCTGCTGCTGAGCAGGGCACAGTGTTTTAAACAATGAGGACGATTGGAGGCGGCCGCCGCAGCTGCCGCCGCCATGTTCTGCTGATGCTGCTGCATATGCTCCGCACAACAATTTACCACCATGGCATCTGCCCCGCCGACTCCTGCCATTAAATGCATATTTTGTGGATCATCCTGGCCGCCACCTCCAGCAGCCATATTGGGTAATTGATGCAATGCCTCCTGGCTGGAACATTGACTCTAAAAAAAGAGAGAAATACCTCATCAATAACAAATCATCCTCCTCCTCTTCTCTCTCCTTCAACTCACCGATAAATTTGAACTACCCGGCGTGGTGCCATAACCCGATGAAGGCAATGAAGCCACTGACCATCTTCTACCATCACCACGACATGTGGCTATACGTTTTATGGGCGCAAATGCAAATTGCATCGGCGAATTGATACGCGGACTATCGACGGGACTTGCCGAATACGGTGAATGAGATCTTGAATTTCCTGCAGCTGCTGCTGCGGCCGCCGCTGCTGCAGCCGCAGCAGCCCCTATACCACCGGTAACCAAACTCAGACGATGATGAGCCACCCCACTAGAACTGGCCGCCGAGCCACGCATAACAACACCATGTAAATGATGTTTACCGATACCCAAGCCAGCACAGCTACCCGAACGTGATATATTCAAGGAACTGGAATTATTGGGTGAGGAGGCGGCTGCGGCCGATGTTGACGCTGCTGCATTAGCTGTTAGCGTTGATGTATTCGAGTTGGAGGCTAATGATGATGCGGATGCCCCAGATGAATGATGATGGTGATGCTGGTGGTGTTGATGATGAGCATTACATGACGAGGATGAGGGTGAATGATGGATGGCATGCATACTGGTCTGGGCCAAACAAAGGCTAGTATCGCGTTCACGAAATGAACTACTGCCCAAGGAGGTTAGGCAGGGTGCCGATTTGCCCAAGGAAGTATTGCGCATGCGTACCAAATTTGAGGAATCTAAAAATAACGAGGGGAAAGAAATTAGTATAACAACAATTTTTTCGATAAATTATCGATATTTCGATGAATTATAGATAAACTATCGATTTTCTATAAATGATCGATATTTGATTTTCGATAAATGTCCGATTCTCCAACAATTATCGATTTTCGATAAATTATAGATTGTCGATAAATTATCGATTTTCGATAATTTTAGATAAGCGATAAACGATCGATTTTTGATAAATTTGAGATTTTCGATAAATTACCGATTTTAAATTAATTAAAATTATTGATAGTCGATAAGTTATCGATTTTCGATTTTTTTATTATCGTTTCTTGATAAATATCAATTTTCGACAAATTAACGATTTTCGATAAGATATCGATTTTAAATTATCGATTTTCGACAAATATCGATATTTCAATATATTATCAATATTTCAGCAAATATCGATTTTTCGATAATTTATCGATATTTTACTACATTACCGATTTTTCGTTAAAATGTCGTTATTACGGTTAATTATCGATATTTTTCGTTAAATTATTGATATTCGATAAATAACGATTTTCGATTTTTAAATAATTATCGGTTTTTGATAAATTATCAATGTTCGTTAAATTATCGATTTTTCGCTAAATTGTCGATTTTTTTCTTTAAAATATCGTTATTTGATAAATGATCGATTTTTCGATATAATTTATTGATAATTTATGGTTTTACTCACCATTACTACTTGATCTCATCGAATACGCATGCTGTTGATAGGATATTTTCCTCAATAGCGCCCCATAGCCTCTGGCCGGCAACGATATCGAACTACCCGATAAACCACCTGATGAGGATTTTGTCAAATTGAGATTGCGCAACAGCGACTGGGATGATGATATCGATGAATCGTTATTTTTCGGTGATGAACCGAACATCTCTAAACCGGTGGAGGATTTTGTGGTTCCGCCACCGCCGCCGCCATCATGAGTATTATTACCGATACTTTGTAGACTATTAGCGCTATTATTGCTACCACCTGTCGTTCCATGTGGTGATCCAAATTCTTGATCCGAATCTTCAAATATTAAAACTCGAGCTGAATAGCTGGATTGAGGTCGGGTGCGGGCCACCGAACCGGAATTTAAATGACGTTTGGCCACGGGACTGTTGGAGGCGGAATTGGATTTACTATAGCCACCACTGCCACCGCCTGCGCCACCAGAGGGTGCACCGCCGCTACCATGTAGGATGCGGCTACTTTGATTGGGGGATATCGAAGTGGTCGTATCATCGTTAAAGACGTTGGATGTCTCGGTGTCAGCAAGACCACTGATATCGGCCAGCATTGCTGTGACCGCCGCATCGGGTAGTTTCTTTTGTGGGGTAGAGGTGGACATTTTACTCATGGCCAAGAGAGTAGACGATGCCGATAATGCTGCTGTTGGTGCAGCTGTCATTGAGGTAGCGCCGGACCTTGAGGTCGTCGTCGTCGTGGCCGCCGACGTCGTCGTTGTCATAGTGGTTTTGTTGGTGTGACCCGATGATGTTGCTTTCGACATGATTGTGGATTGTGACAAGAGAGAGAGAGAGAGAGAGTGTTGGTGTGTGAGAGAGTGAGTGAGGCAGGGAGAGCGATGGAAATAAAATAACGTAACGGAAATTCCTCCGGTTTTTCTTTTTCTTCTTTCTTCACTTCTTCTTAAACATTTTCTAAAACAAAAATATTCAAGTTGGTTGTCCTGCAGATTCTCTGTTGAGGGGTTTGGAGGAGTAGTATATTGCCTCCCAGGGTTTCAATTCCTTAAAAGTATACACGAAGTAATTCTTAAAAAAAACTTTATCCTCTTGTTCTTCTTTGTTGTTGTTCGCTTTCTTGTGTTGTCTAGCTGTAGTGGGCGACTGAACCGGACTGCACTGATCTGAGGTCTGACCTGTTGCTGCGGTTTTTTCTTATCGAATAAATCTCATCATTCAAAATTGTGTTATTGTACACCCGGATACCTGGATACGAGAGTCAGTCCGTCTGTCAATTGAGTGAGCTGCGAATTATTGTTCGCAGTGTCGACAACAACAACGACAATAAGACAATGGTATACAAATAGGCAGGCATGCACGCACACGCTCTAGTTTTGCTAAACTAAATGTTGTAGAACTTTCTCAGTGTTCTCTTGTTGAGAATATTTCCTGGTTTCGGCTGTAGTACTGACGACGACCATCATAATATCCATGGAATAAACATTGAACCTGGAAATCGAATCCGAAGAATGAAAGAAAAGATATTATTTATAAAAATAAATATTATTAATAATAATAAGTATGATTAATAAATATAAATATTAATAAAAAATTAACACCATCTTTGCCGGGTGTGTGTGCGTAGTTGGAGGGGGTATTTAAGAGGAGGAGGCGCCCTACTGGATGGCTTTGGAACAAAGGAAGAGAGACATTTTTGAACTATAGCTGACAATAATTAAATAAACACAAATAAATATCGATTTTTTAACTAAAAATTATCGAAAATAATATATCGATTATTTTTTTATCGAAAAATATCGATTATTTTTTATCGAAAAAATATCGATAATTTTATATCTTAAAAATATCGATTATTTCTTTATCGAAAAAAATCATTATTGTTTTATCAAAAAAATATCGATTATTTATTATCAAAAAATTATCCATAAAAAGTTATCGATTATTTTTTTATCGAAAAAATAATGTTTTATAGAATTATTCATTATCAAAAAGTTATTTTCGAAATCCTTGAGAAAATATATCGATTAATTTTTATCAAAAAAATTCTCGATTTTTTATCGAAAAAAATCATAATTACAAAAAAAAAAATATTATCCATTATTTTTTATGGAAAAAATTATCGATTTTTTTTATCGAAAAAATTATCGATAATTTTTATTGAGAAAAAATCGATTTTTTATCGAAAAAAAAATTATCGATTTCTTCTATTGAAAAAAATTATCGATTTTTTTTCGATACAAAAATGTTAACTTTTTGTTTCGAATTTTTTTTTCTATTGATAGATAAAAATCGATAATTTTTTTTTCATAATAAAAACGTCAGCCTAAAAGGCTACTATGTCAGTATGTATGTTTGTGTGTTTTTTTAATTATTAATTTATTCCACAATGACAACAACAATAAAGACTTTTTAATCCATTTCTATAAAAGGAATCGTTATTGTTTACGATCCGACTGGTTCTGAATGCAAAAAAATCGATGGGAATAGAAAATAATATCGAAACGACGCAGTAACAGGAGAAATGGGCGACCGAACACATGTTTGATTTCCCAAATGCATACAAAAAAAATACATGGCTAATAGAAATTTGTAAATATGGATTTGAATATAGAATAAATTAAATGAATAATGAATGATTGAAATTTTTTAAATACAAAAAAAAAAATTACCGATGTTTTTCCATAAAAAATTTTATCAATTTCTATAAAAAAAATTATCGATTTTTTTCTACAAAAAAATTATCGATTTTTTTCTATAAAAAAAATTATCGATCATTTTTCTATACAAAAATTATCGATTTTTTTCTATTAAAAAATTATTGATTTTTTTTCTATAAACAATTTATTGATTTTTTCTATAAGAAAAGCATAGATTTTTCTCCAAAAAAAATTATCGATTTTTTTCTATAAAAAAATTATCGATTTTTTCGATTAAAAATTATCGATTTTTTTCTATAAAAAAATAGATTTTTTCAAAAAAAATTATCGATTTTTTTCTGTAAAAAAATTATTGATTTTTTTCTTTAAATAAATTATCGATTTTTTCTATTAAAAAAATATCGATTTTTTTCTATAAAAAATCGATTAAAAAAATTATCGATTTTTTCTATTAAAAAAATTATCGATTTTTTCGATAAAAAATTATCGATTTTTTTTTATAAAAAAATAAAAAATTATCGATTTTTTCTATAAAAAATTATCGATTTTTTCTATTAAAAATTTTTTTTTTCTATTAAAAAATTATCGATTTTTTTCTATAAGAAAAGCATAGATTTTTCTCCATAAAAAAATTATCGATTTTTTTCTATAAAAAATCGATTTTTTTCTATAAAAAAGTATCGATTTTTTTCTATAAAAAAATTATTTATGAAATTTTTTTCTATAAAAAAATTATCGATAAAAAAATTTTTTTTCTATAAAAAAATTATCGATTTTTTTTCCAGAGAAAAAATTATCGATTTTTTTCTATAACAAAATTATCGATTTTTTTCTATAAAAAAATTATCGATTTTTTCTATAACAAAATTATCGATTTTTTTCTATAACAAAATTATCGATTTTTTTCTATAAAAAAATTATCGATTTTTTTTTCTATAAAAAATTATCGATTTTTTTTCTATAAAAAATTATCGATTTCATTTAATTTAAAAAAAATTGAAAATTTTTTTCGAATATTTTTTTTTTAATAAAAAATTCAATCCACCCCAATGTCCACACACTAACGTCATCAGGAAATTTTTAGTTAAATTTATTCCACACAAAAAAAAACACTTGTAAATTTGTATCGAAAAGAATAACGTACGCACCCCCAAGGGTGAGTGCGAAATCCGCAATCCGAATACGCAAAAGCGAATCGATCAAAATAAATTGGTGGAAAAAAAAAATTAAGACATCATTGTAAAAATTTATTATTAAACAAAAAACAAGGTAACAACAACAACAAAAATCAAGTTATAAATATGTATGTATGTTAATATGTCGGTAGCGGTAGCAGAACCGCAGTAATAAATAAAAAATAAACTTTAAATCCCAAAAATATTCTGTCTTTCTTGTAAGATAAAACAAAAATCCGTAAATACGCACATACACCTTGGTATGTAAATATTATTTACGTACTTTATACAAATACACATATGTATGTATGTCTGTAATAAAAATAAATACCAATTTATTCGGTTGGGTATGCGGAATGCTTTGTCGATATAGCCCGGCAATAACCATTTGGAATTTATTACCACCAACACCTCATTTTTGGACCAATCCAAAAAAAGAGCAAGAACAACAACAATAAAATAATGTATTGTAATTGTATTTTGGATCGGAGCCAATAATAATATTTCATATATGACCGAAAAATTTTTTTTTTGAATTTTTTTCTTGTAGGGTGAGAAGGGTTCCGAACTACGTATTGTTCCACAAATTTTTAAAATATGCAAAATTTTTGCCCTGCTCAGGAAGAGATTATTTTTAACGAAATTTGAATTTCGTAATTTTTAAAAAAGAGCAACTCTCCTGAGAGCTTTGAGTCATTGTTTGCCTAATCCCTTGTATGCCTACCAAGGAGTCTCCTGAGCCTTATCCTTCCTTCGCCCAGATATCCAGGCAGCCAGCCTACCTCCCTATTGGATGGTGGGTTCTCCCCATTTTTTTATTTTTTATGGTTGACAAGCACTTTGGGGAAAGCTTTTTATTGTCATCAAAGCCTTAACGGCATTTCATTGTTTCCTGTCTACGGGCATTCATTAAAAAAACTTAACTCAGGTGATGTAAGAAAACAGAGAGAGAGAGGAGAATTTCAACCACCACCATCATCACTCAACCCCCCAAAAAACAATTTCTTTCATTTTTCTTTTAGGGGGATGACAACAGCGGGGTGGGAGGGAGGTAATGTGCGTATATATTTATGTATATTGCGACAATTCCGTTTTACGCGTTAATAATTGAATAAGTGAATGACCTCATGTGTTGTTGTTATGTGTGATTCTTTGGGGTCTCCGCCGTTTGTTCTATGTTCGGAATTTTTAATGCGATTTTGTGGATTTTGGCTTCATGTATCATTTTACATGGATTTAGAAATAAAATAAAAAATATATTTTTTTAAAAAAGTCGATTTGTTATAAAAAAATCGAATATTTTTTAATATAAAAAAATCAATAATTTTTTTAAAGAAAAAAAAAAATCGATAATTTTTTATAGAAAAAAAATCAATAATTTTTTACAGAAAATAAAAACGATAAATTTTCAAATAAAAAATCGATATTTTTTTTATTTAAAAATCGATAATTTTTTATAGAAAAAAAAGAAAATTTTTTAAGAGAATAAAATCGATAATTTTTTTATAGAAAAAATCGATAATTTTTTATAGAAAAAATCGATAATTTTTATAGAAAAAATCGATAATTTTTTTATAGAAAAAATCGATAATTTTTTTTATAGAAAAAATCGATAATTTTTTTTTATAAAAAAAAAAAATCGATAAATTTTTTTTTATAGAAAAAATTAATAATTTTTATTGTAGAAAAGAGTCAATAATTTTTTTTATTAAAAAATCGATAATTTTTTTTATTAAAAAATCGATAATTTTTTAAGAGAAAAAATCGAAAATTTTTTAAGTGAATAATATCGATAATTTTTTTTTTAGAAAAAAAAATCGATAATTTTTAATGGAAAAAAATCGATAATTTTTTATGGAAAAAAATCGATACTTTTTTATAGAAAAATCGATAATTTTTTATAGAAAAAAAGATAATTTTTTTTTCAGTAAAAAAAAAATCGATAATTTTTTATAGAAAAAAAAATCATTT